CTCCATAGCCGAACCTATCTGAGTGCCTATTATTATATTTGGCTGTAGTCAGGCACCTAGCCTTAATTAGCGTTACATCTGCCATCTGCTGGACACTTTTTGTTGTGCTCATATTTAGATGTCCTATTTTGCAAATGCTGCCTTCCTGAAATTTGGTATGCTTGTTTGTCTTTGTGTCTATGGTGTATAATGATGTGATTGTGGTGCTGTAATTCTGAGTGTTTTATGTGCTGCAGAACAGGAACCTGCTGTAAAGCAGCAATTATGCTAAGTCAGGCTTGATTTTTAGTAATCTTTTCCTGTTAAATAAATAAATCAAATCATTCTCTTTTTTAAAGGTAGCATGACCCCTGCTGGTTGCCCATTTTTTGTCGTGTGTGTCTTCTTGAATGGGTGTTCTTAAATGTAATTTCATTGTGCTCCGTACAAAAGGCATCATATATCAATCAAATTAAACCATTCAAGTCATTGAGACATTAGGTTCATTTGATAAAATCATATTTTATTTTAGAAGAAAACACCAAAAGCTAATACTATTATATTAACACAAATAATAGGTCTACAATAATTTCAACTCACCAGAGAGACAACATTGTTGGTGATGACGCCTCCGAACAAGGTCTTTACTGTGTTTTTCTGTTTAATAAGCAAACAAGTTAACAAATTCAGCAAAAAGCATTTATGATGATTAAAACCACTCTTAAGTCTGAGATTTAAATTTTTAAGTCAACTGTATTAATCAAGAAAGTTAATTTTGTGCAGATTAGAAAGATCTTTATACACACGYGTAGAAAATTATTGATACCCCTCATTTAATGAAAGAAGAACCCACAAGGGCCAGAAAWAACTAGAATCTGACTTAAGTAATAATAAATTAAAATTCTATGAAAATGAACAAATGAAAGTCAGACATTGCTTTTAAACCATGCTTCAACAGAATAAAAAAATAAATAAAACTCGTGAAACAGGTCTGGATAGAAATGATGGTACCCCTGAAAATAATGTGACCAAAGGGACATGTTACATTAAGGTGTGTCCACAATCTTGTAATCAGTCAGTGAGCCTGTAAATAGGGCTACAGATACTCAATTTAGCAACATGGAGTGTGCCACACTCAACATATACAAGAGGAAGCAAAGGAAATAGTTGTCTCAGGAGATAAGAAAGAAAATTATTGACAAGCATGTTAAAGGTAAAGGTTATAAGACAAGTATGTTAAAGGTAAAGGTTATAAGACAAGCATGTTAAAGGTAAAGGTTATAAGACCATCTCCAAGCAGTTTGATGTTCCTGTGACTACAGTTCCACGTATTCAGAAATTTAAGCTCCATGGGACTGTAGCCAGTCTCCCTGGACGTGGCCGCAGGAGGAAAATCAAAGAGACATCTAATACGAATGGTAACAAAAGAGCCCAGGAAAACTTCTAAAGAGATTAAAGGTGAACTTAAAGCTCAAGAAACATCAGTGTCAGATCGCACCATCCGTCACTGTTTGAGCCAAAGTGGACTTAATGGGAGACGACCAAGGCGGACACAACTGTTGAAAACAAATCATAGAAAAGCCAGACTGGAATTCACCAAACTACATGTTGACAAGCCACAAATCTTCTGGGAGAATGTCCTATGTACAGATGAGACAAAAATAGAAGTTTTTGGCAAGGCACATGAGCTGTATGTTCACAGATAGAAAAATGAAGCATATCAAGAAAAAAGCACTGTACCTACTGTGAAATATGGAGGAGGATCTGTTATGTTTTGGGGCTACTTTGCTACATCTGGCACAGGGTGTCTTGAATCGGTGCACGGTACAATGAAATCTCAAGACTATCAAGGGATTCTAGAGAGAAATGTGCTGCCCAGTGTCCAAAAGCTTTGTCTCAGTCGCAGGTCATGGGTCTTGCAAAAGGATAATGACCCAAAACACACAGCTGAAAAACACCTAAGAATGGCTAARAGGAAAACATTGGACTATTCAGAAGTGGCCTTCTATCAGCCCTGACCTAAACCATATTGAGCATCTTTGGAAGGAGCTAAAACATGCTGTCTGGAAAAGGCACCCTTCAAACCTGAGGCAACTGAAGCAGTTTGCTCATGAATTGGGCCAAAATACCTGGTGAGAGGATAAGGGTACCATCATTTCTGTCCAGGCCTGTTKCATKAGTTTTATTTTTAAAGGGGCAATGTTACGTGTTTCTCAACCTCTTCAGTCTCCCCTGCTCTCTACAGACCAAAATGGTTCTCCTAAAAGAAAAACTTTCTTCCGAAGTCCAAATTCCTCTGAAAAAAATAAACTAAACATTTTCACTGTCTCTCCCTGAAATGTATCCATAACAACCACAGTTGCAAATACAGTAAACAAACAAACAGACAAACACACACACACACACACACACATATATATGTATATATACACAGCAGGTAAAATAAGTATTGAACACGTCACCATTTTTCTCAGTAAATATATTACCAGAGGTGCTAATTGACATGAAATTTTCAACAGTTTTCGGTAACAACCCAAGTGATCCATACATACAAAGAAATCGAACATAAATGTCCAGAAATGAAGTTATTTGTAATAATATGGAATGGCACAGGGAAAAAGTATTGAACAC